TCCGCCATAAGGTACCTTTTGGCAATTATGTGTCACAAATAAAGTTTTGTCTCACTTTAAAATCAGTGTGCTTAACAACAAGTACAATACAGGCCAAATCACCTTCATTCAATGGAGCAGTCAAGGAAAATTTGTAATCCTTCAATGTAATCTGTACTCCTGATAAGGGGTGCGGTCAATAAATATTAATGAGGTATGATGCCATCTAACCTGTTTTGTTACAGAATTCCCTGAGAAGAGAGACTCTGCTAACACCACAAGTAGTACACATGTGAGTTACAGAAATACTAGAGAAAGAGATAGATATTTAAGTACATATACATCATTAAATATTGTTTATTCCGTTATTATTAGCTTACTATTCCAATGTGTACAGGAAATGCTGAAGTACATCTTCCACTAACAGTTTCCATAACTTTCCTTGAGACAAGTCTAACAAAATATATCATCAATGTACTGTACATGTACAAGTTGCATATTATCAATTGCAGCTATTGTACAAAGTAAAAGGTAAAGTAAACATACACTGCATATGGCCTTTGATCATGATAAATGCACTGCAATGGCTCCATACATTAATAGTAACATAAGACAGTCATTACATGTTCATATACATGTACATTATGCTCTGTATGTCACACATGCTGTAAAAGATAAAGCACCATACCTTTTCCAGCAGATGTAGTTTTAGTGACTGGACCACTAGCACCACCACAACCACTTCCTTCCTTTCTTCTGCTTCTTGGACTTCTTTTTTGTAGCAGCAACCTCAGAGGGAGAGAGAGAGAGAGAGAGGACCAATGATACAACAAGAGAGTAGGAGACAATAGTACTGTACAGTACTTACTTCATCAGAAACAATCTCTTCAGTATCAGTCTAAAAAATAAAAAAGAGCAAAGTCAAATAATGATAAAATTAAAGTTACATGTACATTATGTACAAATGTATTGTTAGTGTACTATTATCACTGCATATCTTACTAGTAAACAGTTGAGGAAATAAGCCACATTGGCTGACACACAGTTCAATGGAGTCATTAATAAAAGCTTCCTGAATCTCTTCTTAGTATCATCTCAGTAACACAGATCCTCTACGAGATAATATACATGTACATGCATATGCAAACATACAAGTATAGTGTCATAAATATGTAAAATGATGGCAGATCTGTGTGGAGAAATTGCTGATACAGTACGTCCTCGATTATCCGTACCTCTTTTATCCAAACCCTTGCTTATCCAAACCCTTGCTTATCCAAACGCATGGCTGCCTCTAATGCCCATGCTCAGACTATAATAACCGGTTAAAATGGCTGCTGCAGCAAGGAGCTTACAGAGCTTAACAAGAGAAATACCGTATACTGGGAAATTTTCGAGTAGCAAAATTTTCGCAAATTTCACGTTTTTTACTTCGTCGCAAAAATTAAAATCATGAAATTGTAACTTTCCAGTGCCACGTGGTGGAGTTTATAGGCTGTTTGCAAAAATATTATTTCATGAAATCTTACAAATGCAAAATTCGTGAAAATTTAGCGACGCCAAAATATCCCAGTATTCGGTACCATTAAAGAGAAGCCTGAGATGCTCTGGGAGTTTGAGAAAGGAAAGTCATACTCATTTAATTTTCAGAAAAGTATAGGATAGGTCGGCCTACTGTATTCTGTATGTATTTCACTTATCCAGACTATAGAGGATATGCGTGCTAGGTATATTCATAACTTTTAAGTACCGTATATCCAACCCACACAGTAAATTGGCCGCCATGTTGGACTTCAAGTTTATTAAAAGTTCAATGGGGGAAAACTCATTTTCTTGCCTTGCTACCTTCTTGAGGCCTTTTTCGGAAGCTTAGAAAGCATACTGAGGATCTAATGGGTCTAGTAGTCACCTGAAAGATTGCTATCAAGAAATAAAGAGCGGTTTCCTGGTACCAAGCCTTTTTCTATCTTTTGTCCACTGCTGCCAATGCAAAGTTGACGTCCAACGGACTAATTTCTTTCTTGAAAGTTATTACGGCATGCAATGAATACATTTATTTTGCAATGAATACACTTGGCATGTATATCCTCTATTCAGCTATCTGAACATCTCTCCCAATAGAGGTGCACAAAGGTGTTCGGATAATCGAGGACGTACTGTACCAAATTAGCTACTACTACATGTACAAGTAACTAATGAATCGCCAAAAAATTGCCAAAATTATATTTTGGCAAAACTGCTAAACCCACAAAACTGCTAAACCCACAAAACTGCTAGTACAAGTACCATTGCATGTCAGGAATTAGTTGACTTACATGTAAGTGGTCCAGATCTTCCCTTGACTTGGCTAGCATTGCAATCTTCCCAATATAACGATTACTGATACCCCTTGAGTGGAGGAGGCATTTCAATGAGGTGCCATCAATTGGTGATATATTAAGATATATACAGTCTCTCACCTACAGGTGTAAAACAATCATTAGTACATAAATGTACAGTATAGCTGCATGGTTTATCATGGCCTCAAATTTATAATGTTTAAATTTTCTTTGAAATTAACATTTATGATTTAATTTTTTTTTTAATATTTAATTGATGTTCACAAATGTAGTGGACCTGCACAAAAATTAATTCCATACTTTAAAAAAACAAAATTTATGCATGACCCTAGGACAATACAATAACAGTAAAAAAAATCTAAAATTAGACTAAAAATTATAAAGCATTTACAGAAAAATTTTCATGCTACAAGAAGTAGAAAGTATAATGTAAACAAAACATAGTACGAAATATGCAACAAAAGAAAGTTAATATACCACAGGCGCAGGGCGCCTTTTTTTGAGGGCTGTAAATGTGGCAGATTTCGAGGCTGTTTGAAAATTCACAAAAACTAATTTGGCAAAAATCAAATTATTACGGTACAAGATGATAAGAGACGGTTTAAATTCACGATAATTAAATCTGCAAAATAGATCTTTAGGCCAATTCGTGAAATATACAGCCCTGTACCCTACGGTACACATACATGTACTTACAAATTTAGGTACAGCATTCTTTGTTAAAAGTACAAATTATTAAATTGGGTGCCTCTAACCACAGAATAGAGGCCCAACATGTACATGTATGTCTGTCTGAAGTTAATCAACAGAACAAGTGACTGTATAAAACAAGCATTGTTTCACAAGTATACACTACAAACAATGTTGACTACACAATTAATCACAACAAATATTACATACATGTACATGTGTATAGCAAATAAATTATAATAATTGCAAATAACAATTTCTCTTTTTTGTTATAACAAGCGTAACAGGGTAAAAATATTCCTATAATTGATTTCACCACCTTGCAAGTACAACTTGGTCATTATTAAGACTTATAGAGGTTCTCTCTACCTTATAATGCTTATAGAGAAGTCTTTAGACAGTATCTCTATGTTCTCTTGCTGTTAGAAAGCTCTTAACTTTGTCCCATGTGTAAGCTGCCATTTTGTTTGCCGTGGCCACACCCACTCACGTAAAGGAGCGTGGGCGGGTGGTTGCTAAGGCTTGTTATTTCTCCAATACAACATGTATAGAAGAAATGTAAGTGTGGACATACAAATAAATAAATATATATATATAAATAGCGCGACGGTGAAATCAATTATAGGAACGGCCTGGGGGCTACGCCCCCAGGTCGTTAAAAAATAATAATAGATTGCACACACTTTTAGGAAAACCTCAGACATTGAGTTGAGGTTGTACAAATTAACATTACATTAATCTTGCATATATCAAGTGTTTAATGAATTATTTTATTTCAAAAACACAAAACAATTAATTAATGTTATGATACTAATGATAATATGAACTTGACAACAGGAAGAACCTGCAAGATTCAGAAGGAATAGCTACAGGATTGCTGGGAAGATAAAGCTTCCTGAACAAGGATTCACATCAAGACTATAGTATTCATTTCACTTTTCATCAGTATTCCTTCAACATATCTATTGAATTCAATCAGTGCTGTCCCTCATAAATGCTGGAAAATCATAACAATGACAACAATAATAAAGAAACTTATTGTTTGTGTAAAATCAAAAAGTATCACAATTGTAACTGAAAAAATATTATTAAATAATCACAAACAAGAACATAAAAAATTTAAAAAAACAAGATTGAGTAGGATTCCGAATGACCAACGAAAATATGAAATGAAAATCCTACTCTCGTGACGCAAATTCTACTTTACATTGTAAGGTGATGCATAACTTTTAAATAATAACATTAAAGGTACAATGTAGGGTAGAATTTGCGTCACGAGAGTAGGATTTTCATTTCGTATTTTCGTTGGTCGTTCGGAATCCTACTCAATCTTGTTTTTTTCAAATTTTTTATGTTCTTGTTAAACTTGGAATCATTAGGTAGTGTCAGCTTTATGATAATTATGTGAAAACTTTGAGCCTTTAACAGTGCAAAAATAAACCCAATTTATGCACTGTTAATATTAAAGTGGCACTTATTATTATTACTATTATTATTATTACTATTATTATTACTATTATTAAATTATTATTATTGTGAAATAAAATTCATAAAAATAGTGCCCCAAGACACAAAACACTAGAGATACAATAGGGAGACAAAAAAAGTACAACAAAGAAGAACAAAACAAAAAGGCAAAAATAAATATTAACAATAGTAATAAGATTGATAGTCATATCACTACTTCACCAATGATATTAGACAACTTATAAAGCATAACTTGAGTCACAACTACATTTGAACACTAAACAAATATCATCATTATCAACTACTAATATATTACTATAAGCTACTACATAAATACACATACAAACAAGCATACATTCACAAACATGTACGTTATCAGAAAACCAGCTCAAAAATTACGTGGCAAAATTATAATAATTACAGTCACAGGTAAATTAACAGTGACTTTGTAAATATGGCCATCATTGCCATGTAGAGTTAAAAGTTCAAAACAAAAAGTTATGACTTACTATTGAATGACTGAAAAACAGATTCAACTTGAAATCGTTCAGAAAGCAGCCTCTTCACCACATAGAGGTGAGTTAATAAGAGCCAGCTGTAATTGTACATGAAGTAGTAACACACAGGTGGATCTAGGTGGAAAAGTGGACTGATGTTATCACAAACCAAATAGAACGCCACAAAATTAAAAGTTAGGAATAGTGGACTGGTGCTTAAAAGATGTTATCACAAACTAAATAGAAGGCCACAACACTAAAAGTTTAAAACAAAAAGTTTTGACTTACTACGCAATGAATGATGGTCCAGAGAAACAGCCTCAACTCGAAAAC